AAAAGAAAAGAAAAGAAAAGAAGGAAGGAGGGAAAGGGAAGGGAGGGTGAGTACAGGTTGAACAACCCTAATCCAAAAATCCAAAATCTAAAATGCTTCAAAATCTGAAACTTTTTGGGCACCAACATGATGCCATAGAGAATTCCACAAGTACTTAACACAAGATTAGTTTCATGCACAAAATTATTAAAAATAATATAAATTTTAATATTATTATATAAATATAAATTTACTTTCAGGCTATATATAAGGTACATATGAAACATACATAAATTTTGTGTTTAGACTTGGGTCTTAGCCTCAAGATATGTCATTATGTATATATGCAAATATTCCAAAATCCAAATAAATCTGAAATTCAAAACACTTCTCATTCTAAGCATTTTGGATAAGGGATACTCAGCCTGTATTAACATTTTAGCTAACTAGTTTTTAAATATATGTTCCTCATAATTTATTAATATGTTAATCAAATAGTCTACATATTGAAGATACTGTCTCCATGTATTCCAAAGTGTTAAAAACTTGTCATAAGTGTCATCTTTTTTTCTTTGAGACGGAGTCTCACTCTGTTGCCCAGGCTGGAGTACAGTGATGCGATCTCAGCTGACTGCAAGCTCTGCCTCCCGGGTTCACGCCATTCTTCTGCCTCAGCCTCCCGAGTAGCTGGGACTACAGGTGCCTGCTACCACACCCAGCTAATTTTTTATATTTTCAGTTGAGATGGGGTTTCACCGTATAAGCCAGGATGGTCTCGATCTCCTGACCTCATGATCCGCCTGCCTTGGCCTCCCAAAGTGCTGGGATTACAAGTATTAAGAATTTTAAAGAAAAGCTCTCAATTCTAAATTAAGAATAATTAGGTATGCATATATAGAGACTACAAAATAGAAATGAATTTGTATGTCTAGGAACCAAGACTTGAAGGGCACAATTAGATACATTAGCACACTGGAGTGGGGAAATTTTTTTTGGCAAAATTTCTTTAACACTATCATGATTTTTATTTTCTTCAATAAAATATTATTTTAAAAAACAGTGATATAGTATTAATATCTATATGAGTTCTGCACCAGCCTTTTAGTAACTTGGCCAAAACTAGGAAAAAGTTAATTAACAAAGAAATAGAACTTATGTTTCTTACAGACTGGTAAAGCTCCATGGAAGTGGTTAATATCAGGCTCTAGATTAGTAAATACCTGGTTTAAGTTCCAGTTCTGTCATTTGTTAACTGTGAGAGGTTGAGAAAGTTGTCTAACATCAAAGCCTAGGTTTCTTCATCTGTATATAAGGGTTAATAATACCATCTACCAGTGTGGAATGATAAGACAAGGAAGACTCAGAAGGGTAAGGAGGTGGGAGTGGGGTGGATGATGAGAAATTACTTAATGGGTACAGTGTATGTTATTTGGGTGATGAATATCCTAAAAGCCCTGATTTCACCACTACGCAATTTATGCATGTAACAAAATTGCACTTGTACCCCATAAATTTATACAAATAAAAATAAAATAAAAAATTAAATATTTCCTTCAAAAAAACTATCTACCTTCATATGATTGTTATGAATTACAGGAGATATGCATATGATGAAGCATTTTGCAAAATTCTTGGCATACGGTAAGCACTCAAAAGTTGTTAGCTATATTATTATAATCTACTAAATATGTTTTTATGATAATGCATTAATAAGTCTGGTTATTCAACACACATATTTTCTGTACCTTTTATGTTCTAGGCACCTGTGCCAAGTAGTGGGAACACAAAAATGAGAGTTAGACACGGTTCTTTAAGGGGTTTACAGGAGACTGGAGGAAAATGGATATTTATTGATAATTTTATAATAACAAGGGAAGAGCAAGATAATGCAGAATAGTGAAGAAGGGCTCCTAAAGCAGAGTTGGGAGTTGGGGTAGTAAAAGGCAATCTCTGGTAATTTGCCTGTAGAGGTTACACTTGAGTTGAATGAGAAGGATGTGCAGATGTTAGTCAGCAAATAGAGTTGGGATGGGTGACAGTGCTAGAGGGACACAGACTATAAGCAATTCATTGTTGCTGGAGCAAAAAGTACTGAACACAGAGCAGCAAGAGATGAGGCCAGAGAGGAAGGCAGGCAGGCAGATCAGGAAGGGCACTCTATGTCACCTTATCCTAGCCACTGAAGAGTTTTCAGCAGGTGTGTGCCATAGTCCGATCTGTATTTATATGGACTCCTTAAACAATTCAGCAATTACATGGCAGGTTGATTTGGGATAGAAAAAGACTAGAAATAGGAACAATTAGGAGATTATTATACCTGTCTTATCAAAACAAGATGATGGCTACCAGGAGTTGACTGGAAATGATAGATTTCAGAAATATTCAGGAGGTTAAGTGGCAGTAGAATTTTTTGAATAACTACATATGGATAGAACGCAAGATAATTCCTTGCTTTCAGATTGAAGACTGAGGGGATTGTGGTACCAACAACCAGACTACCTGAGGAAAATAAGTGATTTTTGTTTGGGTAGTGTTTGAGGTGTCTCTTCACTGTTCAGGCAGAGCTGTCTAGTAGATAGTTGAATATATACCTTTGGAATCCATATGAAAGGAAATAATAGATTTGAGAGTCATTAGGATATAGCTGCTAGTCAAAAAACTGCAGTGAAGAGCAGCCGGCTAAGGAGAGATGCCGAGAAACAGAAGCGTTTAGATCAACAGTGTCCAATAAAAAGAAGCCCAGTTAAAGAAAAAAACTGACTTGATTCAGCAATTATGTCAGTGGGTATGTGATGGGCATATATCTACAGAGTTCATTCATTTATTCATCCAGCTACTTATTAATCAAACACTCACTGAATACTTAAGATGTACCATTCCCTGTGTTAATGTACTATGGAAACAAAGCTAAACAGCAAACAGAAGCCAGCAGTGCAGAGGGAGATAGGCAATGTTAGTACTAGTAAACAGAAAGAACCATGTCCATTTTTTTATGGTTGGAGAAGTAAGACTCAAAGAGATTAAAACTAAGTTTTCCAAAGACAAACAGCAAATAGTGGCAAAGCCATGATTCAAACCTAGAACTGTTTGGTTCCTAAGCCCATGATCTTTATCCTTTCTTATGTTACCTGATTCAAATTTCCCCAATTTACTTACTTACTTTTGAATATACAAAAAACATACTTGAGATACCTATCTCAATTTATTTTCTATTTTTAAATGTTTCCAGTTTTAAGAAGCTGGAAGTAAATTATCACGCCTATGAAATTCACTGTGTACAGTCTCACTGGAATAAATGATTTTGGTGCTTAAGCAATACTTCCTTAAAGTAGTGACAAAATTATTAATCCCGCAGAGAAGCTTACTATGATTTCTATACATCTAACCTTATTCGTATTCATAGAACAAATTCTTAATGTGATAATTAGGTTATATAGGCAATATCTTCATTATATCTACAATGTCTTAATGAAGAATAAAGTTAAAAGTACAGTTTGTTTTCCATAGACAAACTTGAAAACTACTGATGCACAAAGAAACAGTAATTTATCAGAAAAGAAACTTAAAAACATTCGATTACCTTCTTTGCAAAGACCAAAATCAGCAATTTTCACAAAGCCCTCTGTATCTAGCAATAAGTTATCCAATTTCAAATCTCTGTTCAGGATAAAAAGATACAGCATGAAAAAAAAAATCAGTAGGTTATACAGTTAAAAAAATAATTTCAACTGGAACTGTACTCTCTCTTTATTAAAAATGGGATTTCCAAGTTATGATTTGAGATTTAAATACTGTATCACATTGTTTTCTTCCTTTTAGTAAGCTTATTGCTCTATATAAGGTAGCTTATGAGAAATTATTCTCCTGTTACATAAAAAAGGAAGAATGTATTTAATTTATTTGTGATAATCTAATTTAATCCACTTTTTTTTCTTTTGAGACGGAGTCTCACTTTGTCACCCAGGCTGGAGTGCAATGGCATGGTCTTGGCTTACTGCAACCTCTGCCTCCCAGGTACAAGCGATTCTCCTACCTCAGTCTTCCAAGTAGCTGGGACTACAGGCGTGTGCCACCATACCCGGCTAATTTTTGTATTTTTATTAGAGAGGGGGTTTCACTATGTTGGCTAGGCTGGTCTTGAACTCCTGACCTTGTGATCCGCTGGCCTTGGCCTCCCCAAGTGCTGGGATTACAGGCATGAGACACCACACCCAGCCCTTTTTTTTTTTTCTTTTTTTAAAGACAGAGTCTCGCTCTGTCACCCAGGCTGGTGTGCACTGGCATGATCTCGGCTCACTGCAACCTCTACTTTCCAGGTTCAAGCAATTCTTGTGCCTCAGACTCCCAAGTAGCTGGGACTACAGGTGCCCACCACCAAGTCTGGCTAATTTTTTTTTTTTATTTGTAGTACAGATGGGTTTTCACCATGTTGGCCAGGCTGGTCTCGAACTCCTGACCTCAGGTGATCCACCTGCCTCGGCCTTCAAAAGTGCTAGGATTACAGGCGTGAGCCACTGTGTCTGGCCAACTTAATCTAGTTTTAAAGTTTGCTTATATGCCATCCATAAGAAAGAACTGTAAAGCTAACAGTATTAATAAGGCATCAGAGGGCAGGTTTCATCTTCTGAAAGAATGAGAGAAAGCTATCCATCCATACTAGTTGATTACAAATTAGGCAAATTGACAATATTTTATCCATTTTGTTCAATTTATTTTTTCTTTTTGTGATACAAGGTACTCGCTCTGTTGTCTAAGTGGGGTACAGTGGCATAATCATGGCTCACTGCAGCCTTGACCTCCCAGGCTCAAGCAATTCCCCCACCTCAGCCTCCTGAGTAGCCCAGATACAGGCAGATATCATCACTCCTCGCTGATTTTTAGATTTTTTTTGTAGAGACAGAATACCACTATGTTGCCCAGGCTGGTCTCAAACTCCTACACCAAAGCAATCCTCCCACCTTGGCCTCCCCAAATACTGGGGTTACACGTTTGAGCCACTGAGCCCAGGAAATATTTTATCCGTTAGGTAAAACAGAACTTAATCATGAAAACATCATTAGAACCTTACCTGACTGGGTGCGGCGGCTCACAACTGTAATCTTAGTACTTTGGGAGGCTGAGGCGGGTAGTCACCTGAGGTCAGGAGTTTCAAGACCAGCCTGGCCAACATGGTGAAACTCTGTCTATACTAAAAATATAAAAGTTAGCTGGCCATGGTGGTGGGAACCTGTAATTCCAGGTACTCAGGAGGCTGAGGAAGGAGAATCGCTTGAACCCGGGAGGCAGAGGTTGCCATGAGCAAGTTCACACCATTGCACTCCAGCCTGGGCGACAAGAGTGAAACTCTGTCTCAAAAAAAAAAAAAAAAAAAAAAAAGAAAAAAAAAAACTTAAATAATCCAATGTTTATAGTCTTCTAATTCTGACTAGTCTTCTCATATCTGCTTGGTCTTGGGCAGTGAGTGCTAGTCAAAGTGTGGTTCACAGACTAGCTGCTGGGCCACAAATTACAGAGATCAGCTACATCACCAATATACTATTTAGTTCAGTTGACAATAAGGCTTCGTAATGAGGGAAGCAGTGTGATGTTTTACACTCTAACACAAGCTACTTGTCTCATCAGGGACACGTTTTTAGCAGTATTGGTCTATGGAGGTTTTTTGCAATGAGTTGTTTGAATGCTAAATATTCACTAGGATGAATATTGTTGAGAAATGCACTATCATAGACCAACCCATAATTTGACTATTTTAATTAGAAAATGTGCTATGGATTAGAAAACAAAAAGTTCATCATATAATCATAGTGCTAACCACATGTCTTTCAAAATTGGGGTTTGACTTATCAGATGAAGGAGAAAACTAAGAAGCTGGTTAAACATAAAACGTTTAAGAAACACAAAACACCATCTTTAATTCTAAATCACACCAAAGCAAGCCATTAGAAAAAATTAAAAATTAACTTACCTATAAACAATTTTGTGTTCATGTAAATACTGCAACCCAAGAACTACACAAGCAGCATAAAATCTGTTTGAAGAATTAAATCAATAGGAGTTTAATAAATTTTATTGCTCTTGAATCCCAGCTTATATGTTTATACTTCAAAGCAGACCTATCATTAATTTATTTCACAAATTTTTTTTTTAGTCCCCACTATGTATCACACATTGTGCTAGATATTAGGGGTAAAATTTAAAAATGAGAAAAGTATAGTTTTGACAATTAAAGCCATTAACTTTGCCTAGTGGAGTCACTGAGAACCTCAGAGGGGACATTTGATCTGGTTTTGCAGGAGGAATTACAATATAGCATAAGGACAAAGGACAGTGTGACAGGCAGAAGTTTTGTGGGGGAAAAAATACTTACCTGAAAGAAAAAAGAAATAGAGGTGCAAAAGGCGTTAACACGTTTGATAACAAGTAAGTCTGGTGTGGCTGAAGTAAAGGATGGGTGTATCTGGGGAAGAAGTAGGAGATTAAGCTGGAAAGATAACCTGGGTGAAGGACCCTGAATGTCATATTATGGATACTGAAATTTTTTCTCTTAGTGACAGAGAATCAAACCATTTTAATCAGAGGAGAATGATGGCATTTGTTTTCTGGTAGCAATGCGAAGGATGGAGAAGTAGGTAGAGATCCAGAGGAAAAAAGAACAGATAAGGCTTTTATCATAGTTTAGATGAAAAGATCATGAGAACATCTACTGTAGTGGCAACAGAGATACAGATTCACAAGAACTTAAAAATTAGCATGACAGAAGGTGCTATCCCATTACAGGATAAGGAAGAGGGAGGAGCTACAGGTAACTTTCAAGGTTTCCATCTTAGTAGAATGAATGGATAAAAGAAACAGAGGTGGCCAAGGTTTTGTGACAAAACTAGGTTTGGCATTTAACAGGTTGACTTTGTCTGTGGGGCAGGTGATGATATATAAAAGCTGGGTATATGGGTTTGGATCTCAGAAAACCTGGGCCGAGAGAGAATAATAATTCTTGAGGCACAGGACCATGTTTGTCTTTTTCAGTTTTTATCCTAAGTTCATAGCATAATGCCTGATATACATGATAGGCTTATTGAACAAGGAGGAAATAAATGAATAGATTTAAAAATGCAAATGTCTTCAGTGTAGAATAGCCTATAAACACTTAGGATAATTAGTTTTTAATTATAAAAGTAATAATATGAGTATTTTCTCTATAAAACATGTAATACGCTTCTCTCCAAAGTACACTATTTCATCCATCTCCATCTCACCTCATTCCACTGCAGTTCATACGGATAATAATTCTTGTCACTTTAACATTATTCCAAACTTTCAGAATATATTTACATTCACATGTAGATAATATAGCTATGTTTTATATTTGCCTATTTTTATTAAAAATGGGTCAATAATTTTTATTTATTTATTTTGTTTCTTGAGATGGAGTTTTGCTCTCGTTGCCCAGGCTGGAGTGCAATGGTGCGATCTCAGTTCACCGCAACCTCCGCCTCCCGAGTTCAAGCGACTGTCTTGCCTCAGCCTCTCGAGTACCTGGGAATATAGGCATGTGCCACCACGCCCGGTTAATTTTGTATTTTCAGTAGAGACAGGGCTTCTCAACGTGGTCAGGCTGGTCTCAAACTTCTGACCTCAGGTGATCCGCCCGCCTCCGCCTCCCAAAGCGCTGTGATTACAGGCGTGAGCCACTGTGCCTGGCATTTTTATTT